TGTTACAGCAGATGTTCGTGATGCATCTTCCCCCTCTTCCTCAGCACGTCGGTAAGTACTCAGCTCCTTCATTGCAAAGTCACGGATCTGTGTCGAGAGAACAGCCTCAGGCAGTTCGCATCCGCATGCAGCGAGTTCTGTCGCCAGCAGCACTTCAGCTGTAGCAGCGCGGCACTGCAGGTCTTCTGCACACTCAAGTAAACCGCAGCACGCCTCATACAGCCCCCGCAACAGGCCACGGAGCTGCATCGTACCACTTCCTGCGTCAGAGGTAGACGCTATAGACCGCCTCCAGCTAGCCACAGACGGGAGCAGCCCCTGTATAGCCGCAAGTGTGAGCTGCTGCCGCGCTGCTGCACCCCCCGATCGAACACGTAGAGGCAAGGAAAGAAGCAGCAGGCGAACCAGCTTTGCTGTCGTTGGAATTGCAAGTTCATCAGAAGCAGAAACTTTACTCACAGACGAGGCTTGCTGTAGGCCCTTGTCCGCGCATGCATAAGCAGCAAGGCGGGTGAGAAGCTGCAGCTCTTTGAATCCCACAAGGAGCAGTCTCTCTCTCCGCTGCGTTAGGGGCTGGGGCTGCGCTGGGTCCTGCAGAGGCGGAGCAGTGGCCCCTTCAGAGACAGCGAGGGGTTGTTGCTGATGCTGTTGTTGCAGTCGTTTTTGTTGTTGCTGGGTTGCTGGCTGCTCTTCATGTTGCTTGCGGGCAGTCGCGCCTCTTCTTGCAGTTAGCAGCAACTCCATGCCGTGCAGCAAAATGCTTAAGTGAGGAAGCAACACTTGTATCCCTCGTTCTTGTTGAAGCTGCTGTTGTCTTTGCAAGGCCTCGTAAGCCTCTTTAAAGGTTTTCAGAGACCCTGTCTTGTCGCTCTCTATAAACCCCTTTTCTTGTTCGTTCTGCTCCTCTTCGTCGCTGTCATCAGAAGAAGATGATTGGTAGCCCGTGCGTCGGCGTCTCCTCTCATTTACATGTTTCATAGCATTGAATTCACGCCGAGACAGCCGCAATTCTTCCTCCTGCTGCTCCTTTGTGCGGCCTCCAAACGATAGCAGCAAAGCCGTCTCTATCGCCACCTCCAGCAGGGGTGTCGTGTTTCTCTTGCTGCGCTGCAGGAACCGCAGCAGCGGGTCAGACCCTATAGCCCCAAGGAGACACGGGAGGGCCTTGGGGAGCAGTTGTTCGTACAGCACAAAGTAATCCTATAGAGTAGAATACACACAGACACACACACACACACACACACACACACGCAGATATATAATAATACATAAATAGAAATAAACACATAAATGAGAATGCTAGAAATGCATATCCAGGCAAAGGAAAAAAATCTGCTGAAGACGAGCACTTCACGGGCTGAAAAAATGTCTCATGGCTCTCCAGATATTCACAACATGTCAGTGGAGCCAATCAACAGAGAGCTCTGCATAACGTCTGGGAAGGGGCGGCGCGGATAGAAGCTCTGTTATAACTTGCTGCCTCAGGGTAAACCCCACTGCCGGTTGGCTTAGAGAATCTCCTACGCTACTACTGCTGCATCTATGTGCTGTGTGTATTCAGTTTGCTGCTGATTGCTTTCATATTGTCTCACCGCGTTTGATGCCCAGGAAGCAACGAAACGCACAACTGCAGGGCACTTGCTGCCCCCCTTGATATCCCCTGAAGAGCCCGTTGCCCCCGTCTCTACCGCTGTTGCAAGAAGCAGCTGCAGCGCATTTGCTGCTGGAGCCAGCAGCATTATCCACGCCCCAACAAAGTCCGGAAAGGCGTTGAAGAGCCGATGCAGCGCGTCAATCGCGATTCGAATGCAGTGTTTTCTGTGTCTTGCATTGATTGCAGCACTAGCCACCTCGCCTCTCCGCTCCCCTGGTATGAGTTCAGTGGTGTCATCAGCTTCATCCAACGCTCTCTCTCTCTCTGTTTGCTGTTCTTCAGCATCCGGTTTATCTGTTTCCTCTCTTACAACCTCCCCCACCCCGGTGGTGACGGCGTTGTCTTCAGGCTTCACAGAAACAAGTTGCTGGAGAATCTCGCCAAAGAGAAACACCAGGAAAGGTGCTGCTGGCCTCAATGTGTGCTGCTGCATCTGAACCAGATGCTGCAGCGACTTGAGAAGCCCGTGCAGCTGAGTTGATGATGATGGCCCCAGCAGCTGATCTGATAGGGTCACATAGACTGGGGGCTCCTCCGCCGCCTCCTCGCACTTGGAGTCAACAGCAGCAGCAGCTGCTGCAGCGGCAGCAGTAGTAGCAGCAGTACCAGCAGCTGCAGCCCAAGAGGCAGCGTCTCCCAAGCTCTTTGCTCTGCGGTATTGCCAACGAATGAAGGAGACAAGTGCCCGCTCCTTATCCATACCCTCTAGAGGAGTTGAAGCCCTTATATCTTCTTCTCGTGAAGCAGCAACAGGGTCACTGACACGGGGAGTCAGGCGCAGCAGCCGCAGCGACAACACCGCCAGCACCATTGAAATCTCCGTCTCCTCAAGGCTGCTCAGCAAGCCGAATATTCTTCGCCGGTTTGCCAACACAACTCCAGGAGACCTCCCCCTGAACATCATCACAAATGCAGACAGCATCTCATGACAACACAGCTGCTAGTCTCGTTTGAAATAAGAGAAAAACAACGCGAAATTAAATATGTTGAGGAACGTATCCCCGGCTTAACACTATCCACATTCTCCACCAACTGACACAAGGTAAACAACCAGGAGAGGCTGGCCACTAGCGGAAACGCTCGAGGTGAGCCTTCTAAGAAAGCAGATGACAGCACTGCAGCCTAAGCCCACTCATTGAATATATTCTTACATTTTCACTTGGGTCTTGCTGATGAGGAGACGAACGATAAGAGGCAACATAAAGTCTCGGTGCTGAGGCAACAACACGACGTCTTCCTTTGTTTCTGCTGTTCGATGCAACAGCTGGAACTCAGCTTCTTCTCTCCCCAACACAAGGCGCAGCAGACTAGAAGGTGCACCCCCCTTGTCCCTCAACGCCTCCTCCAGCACAGGATAGTACGGCTTCAGCACCTGCTGCAGCTCCCGACAAAGCATTAAAGTCTGAGCAACAGACAAAACAACATGCCTCCAGTGCTCTCCTTATGATGGCAGCCCTTACCACAACACCCTGTCCTACATATATATATATATATATATATATATATATATATATATATATATATATATATATATATATATAT